AAGCCACCAGCCTGGTCAGGCCCCTGGTCGGGTTCCTGGGCGGCCGCAGCAGCCTGGTCCCTCGCCATGGTCCGCAAGGTCGCCTGCCAGAGATTCGGCAGGTCGGAGAAGTCCAAATCAGGATTCTTTTCGCAAAGACGTAGATGGACCCGATCGCCCAGTCCGCGCCTTCTCCTCCAACCCCTCAGACTGATTCTGCATCTCCGCATCAGTGCAGCGACCCTCTCCGACTTTCCTGAAGTTCGCGTCAAGGGCCAGCCTTTCCTGTTCGAAGGCCCCATTGCTTCTTCAGCTCGCTGAGCCCTTCGAAAGTCGCCCGCAGTTCTTGTTCCTTTCGTTGACCTCCTTGGTGAGACGGGCGGTCGTCCTTTGAAGCTCCTTGATCTCCTCTGCACGACGGTCGAGCTCGCCTTCTGGAAATCCACTGATCGCAAGGCGGCATCCTTTTGGTGCAGATACCTGTCCGTCGCTTCGAACGCTTGTGCTCTTTCAGCTTCGCGGACTCCACACTCTGCTTCAGCTTCGCGACCTCCTCTTCCAGGTCGCTAGTCCCCTTTGCGTCCCCCAGACGCGTCTTCTCCATGGACAATCCTCATCGCAAGTAATCCCTGCGAGCAGAATATGGTTAGAAACAAATCGATTGGAATTTCCAAGTACGGTTAATTTACCTTGCTCAGATGCTGAAACGACGTAGCCAGCAGGTCGTCGCCCGTACTGCAAATTCTTGTATACTCCGATAGCTCGCAATCGAGCAGCCATAAACGATCAGCTCAGGTACTCGGGCAGACTCCCCAACGAATCTAGAACAGGTGCGTCCGTTGCACCTGCCTCGCCCACAGGCCCTTACCCGACCTCCGGGACCCCTGACGCGACCTAAGAGCTCTTCCTCTGATTCGGTCTCCGACTCTCAGGCTGAATTTTTTCTCTTCTTTGACTTCTGGGCCGGAGCCTTCCCTTGGGGCGAGTAGTCGGTGCCTGAGCAGCCTGTCCCGACCTGTTGCCCCTTCCGCAGCAGGGCGGGGCTGGAGCTGGGACTGTTCGCACCGCTGTGCCGACAGCACGAGCAGCATCAGCCCCCTCCGACCCTCGATCGAGGAAAGACAAACGGTGCCCGCGGGGACTGCCGGATTCCTTTGGGGCATCGTTCGCCATTCAAGGTCGTTAGTAATCGAGACCAATTCGCGACCAGAAGGGGACTAAGTGTGACCTACCTTCTTGAGGTTCTAAAGACGCCCGGTCGCTGAAAAAACCGTACTTCCGCAAGTTCGCGGTCGTCACAAGCTTCCTCGCGTCACGACTGTCTTCGTCTAATACTCCGAAGGATACGAGCCTATCCGGGTCAGCGAGTAGTGACTGATGGGTCGTTCTGTTAACTGCAAACAAATCAGGTCTTTATTATGGATCAGGCAGCAGAATATAGACTCAATAAGAAAACCTACTTGGATCTTGAAAACGGCAATAGCCGTTGTACATGAAAAAGAAGAACTTTACTCGTAGGCCCCCGCATTGCTGGGGTAGCTTAGTATCCCCGCGGCAATGGTAGGTCGCCGAGATAGGTAGTACGTCCTTATCCCACTCTTCTTAAGGTAGTAGGCGACACCGAGCTCTACCGCCGTTGCTCCCCTAAGCCGCTCTCGCAGCACGCGATGTACATCGCGACAGCGATGAAAACGCGTTTGCGTCAATTGCATCGGTGCGATCCCGAAATGATCCAGGACCGACCTGATAAGGATGGAAGGGAATCCTCCCCCACCCTTGAAGATCTCCTCTGAGATCGCGGCGAGGCCAGTGTCTGGGCGCCGCGACGGTCTGGTATGGTCGAGGAACACCTCTGCGCGAATATCATACTGCGTCTTTATTCTATTATACTCCTCGGAAGTAAGAACCGGTAAACATCGAGGGCTGCTTCCCGGGGACTTCCCGCGAGGACGAGCTGGCTCCTTCCTCGGTCTGGATTTGGACGGTTCCTTCCAGTCTGCACATCGACAGACATGGTCATTAGGCCTTTGTTTCGTCCCGAGTGATGACGGGACGCCTAAAAATCTATCAACGCTCCGAGCCGCCGTCCACGCTCGAATCCAGGGCGGCGTCGTGTCTCCGGTGAAACGCCGAGAGACCCAACGCCACTATTCACCAACAAAAAAAAAAAAAAAAAAAAAGAAGAGAAGGAAAACCTTACTCTCTGAGACGTGAGGCTGATGCCGAATCCGTTTCGATTGCTTGAAAAATGCCGATCGGACGAAAGTTGCTTCTGGCGTGCGAAGGTTTTCTGTTTGAAGCGAAAGAAGTTTCGGTGGCTTCATCAGAAAAGTGAGTTTTATATGGGATTGCGATCGACGGTTACCACCCTTTGGAACTGAAACGACACCCACTCTCTCTCTCCCGCATTAAATGCGCCCCACGTCGCATCAACTGACGCAGTAATGGCCCTCGTTTCGTTACGCTGCGCCACTAACACTGCCAAACGGTGCCACCTCAGCACGCAGAGCATTTAATGTGCCTGACATGCTTTAGCGCGTGCGACCGCATGGCACGTGAAACCAGGTTCGTTGAACCTGTACAGGGGAGCGCCCTCAGATCCAGGTCGCTAAGTGGAGATTGTCAGGTCGCTCTGACTGAGGACTGCATGAGGTCGTGTTCGCCAGAGTTCTGTACCGCTCTTCGAGTTCTGTACCGACTCTTCCCGTTCAGGTCGGGGCGAGTAAACTTCAGCGTAACTTAGTTTCCAAGGTCGACCTTCGAACTTAAAAACTAGGGGGCTTCTGTTATGCCTAAGGATAAAGGGCTGACTGGGAAGGTCACGTGAAGGGCGACCTGCTCCCTCAGAGCACACGCACACGTCAGACCTGCCAAGTGATGTGGAGCCCACACGCGTCCATTCCCTGCCACAAGTCGTGCGATGTCAGCTTGGAAAAAGGGAAATGGGACATAAAGCCGGATATACACTGACATCACACCAAACCACGGATTTAGCAATGATTATACGCTTCGATTCAGTATAAAATAGGGGACCCTTCATTGGGGGATTCGGCCATTTTACACACAAAAAAGCAAAACGGAAATCTCTCTCTCTTGTAACTTTGCTTTGACTTTTTTCGTCTGTTGTAAGTCAGCTCGCGACCGCGACCTGACACCCACTAACATCAATACAAATCAGTGGACGTAGGACTTGCTATCTCAGCGTCCGAACCACTTAAAAAACTCCCTCTACAGCTATTTTACTTTTCAGATATTCTATTTTCACATGCATCTAACAGTTAATTGATATTATATACGTAAAAATTCGTTGGTGTAAAAACGAGCATCAACAATATTCGTATCTTATTACAGTTTAACTAATCTAACTGTGATTAATTACTTTCTTTGAATTGCAGAAGAAGATGCCAAGAACTCTCCCTTCGTTCAAAGGCACAAGAGGTGCATTTTTAACTTTATTCGTTCCGTTTTCACTTTTTGATTCGCTTATTAGTTATTATTGTTGTAGCACATTGAATACTGAAATCAATAATGCATAAAGTAATAATCAGATGATAAGAAATTTAATGCTATAAAAACTTTCTATAGAGAATCATTATGGATTGCCGCAGTAACAATCTGTGGAAAATTCTTATCAAGCCTGATAATGCAGTTTCTGATACCATCACTGAACAACTAGTCGTTGATATATTAGAACTTTTTTTCTTTGTTTGGTTTGGTTACTACTTCTATTGGTGTTATTATCTACTGTTTCAACTTCACATGACCATGCATTGGCTTTGAAGTCTTTGAATAATCTGAATCACTACTCTGCTGTTGTTCTGGAAAATTTCCGAATGAATGTCTTGATTTATGTTGCTGCTTTTGTTGTTACTCGAATATTATATGAGCTATCTAAGTTCTTATGAGTATGCACTGTTTTAGATAGCATTGATCATCTATATGATGTAATGGCTTTGATGTTCTGGGGTACAATTGTCAGTCTTATTTTCTGATGAAAAATATCACAGTACTGTTTTTCCATTGAAATATTGGCAGATTTAAACTGCAATCATTTGATACCTTGTTGTGTTTTGTAGGTGATCTTTGAAAGCCATTCTGGTTGCCAGCTTTGAACTCGTGCTTTAGGAGGAGGGGGGCTTCTTTATTTGGTTTTTAATAACAGATGTACTGGATACTCTGTTTTTGAATTCCTATCCTTATGTGTTTAATTTCAAATAATATAGGAGCCTTTATTGGTCTTGAATTTATCTTGACAAACAAAGCGGCAAGGGTTTGACTTTCGTCAATGAGAAATATGCTATATCAGAAACACTGCTGTCTTTGTTACAACATTGTGTGCTTCTGGAGCCTAATGTTACTAGTTCGGAGTTTCACACCTAAAAGGTTAACCGGTTAGGTGGAGACCTGGAGAGACTCTCCCCTTTATAAGCTGAAAAAATACGATTCAAATGTGAAATTCGTTATATTCTTCTCCACGCAATCTTATGACGTCAGTCAAAGGTGGAGCCCCCTGCCAACTTATCCACCTCACTCTCAAATGAATACACAAATCACACGTGGACATTTGACGAGACACTGAAAGATAGATAAAGTCTGTTCTGATACTGCTTATTACGAGTTGAGAGTTTCATATTCAAAAGATTAACCTATTAGGTGGAGGGACTTTCTTATTTTATAAGCTGACCTCTCTAATATGCTTTTGATGTGAGATTCGTTACACTAAGCACTAAACGACCTAACCTACTCTTTTCCTCTATGTCAATTGCTGATGATCAATAGGCCTTAAACAGGAAACAGGAAACAATGTATTTGCTTTTATTAGATATTACCAATTGAAGAAATAGAAATATTGGTCTGATGGTTTGGGTCCCCGAAGTTACCCTGTAGCTTTTAAAGAAAAAAAGACTTTGTAGGGGTTCAAAAAGACCCGAAGATCGTAATAGCAACTAAACCAGCAACTCTTACCGGACTTAACATTTCAGACAAAAAGAAACAGAAAACTACACAATTACAAAGAGAGATACTTGGTATAAAGATTTTATTAATTAAGTATTGTAGCAACAAAATTAGGGCCGATAAAGACTTGGTAGTATTCAACTTGACAAAGGGGAAAAAAAAAAAAAGTAAATGTGGTTTCAGAAAGGGAGAAATCGTCTCACTTATTTCCTATGATGTGTCGATGAACAAGAAAAAGAGAGGCCTAAGGAAAAGCATGAACATTTGACAAGAATATAAATTTTATGCTTCTAAAGCACCTTCCACATTGGAGAGCTGCTGACTGAGATTTTCACTTTGTAATTCTTAGTTCATGCAATTGGCATTCACTACTTGGGAACTCCAAGTCTCAAACGGAAATCCTCTTCCATAAGGGGAAGGCCGTCCCGCAACTTGACCTTTGGCTCCCATCCTAGCAATTCCTTTGCTTTTGTGATGTCAGGTTTTCTCTGTCGTGGATCGTCAGGAGTGTTCTCAACCATTTTTATCTCCACATCAGGTTTGATAAGCTACAAAGTCCAACCCCATTACAAGAGGGAACTCAGTATATTGAAATGGCTTACTGAGAAACATCATTCAATTATATTTGCACGTGGGAGAAAATGGAAAAAATGAAACTAACCTCCTTCACTGTCTCAGCAAGTTCAGTCATGGTAAATTCACCTGGAAATGCACAATATCTACAGTCAGTAATTGGCATGGAAATAAAATTTAGTTTGAGCACGAAAATCTTTCAAGAATATGTAAACCATCTTCGTAGGATCACCTGGGTTTCCAATGTTGATAGGTCCAGTGTTCTCTCCTTCCATGAGGCGAATGAGGCCATCCACCTAAAATATTATAAACAGATAATTATTCTCTTAACACTGAAATTCATTAAAGTAATTATTATTTACTACTGTACCATATCAGAGACATAGCAGAAACTACGAGTTTGTGTTCCAGGCTTTTGAACGGTCAATGGTTCACCTCTGCAAAGAGCAAAATAAGAGTCAGAATAATAGTGGCGTTAATGGCTTTGTTACAGAAGGAGTGAAGTATTTTGCTGTTCTACTAGGACAAAGTAAGAAGAATAAATTATCACGTAAGATAGCATAGAATTGATCAATGCCCTCATATTAGACAAACTGAATTGGTGATACTGTCTTCATTCTAGAAAGGAACAAAGTTGTGCTCGATAAAGGACAAATTGTAAATGTCCAATTAAACAGCAAAGCGAATTAGAAATACACTAATACCATGTAACTCATAAAACAGTACAAGGAGTTACCGTAGTGCCTGTGCTATGAAATTGCTGACCACACGCCCATCATCAATATTCATACGTGGTCCATAAGTGTTAAAGATTCTGGCAATGCGTATTTCTATGAAAAAGATAAAAAGAAATTATCAATGCAAAGATAAAAATTATTGAACATGAAGTAGTTCTGGATAGAGAAGCTGAACGATTACCAATCCCATGCTGTCTATGATAATCAAACATCAAAGTCTCAGCTACACGCTTCCCCTCATCATAACAGCTCCGAACCCCTATTTCACGGAAGAGGATGTGTTAGTGCTGATGCTGTCAAAGACCTGCTTAATGTTTTTAACTTATGTATACTACACATTTACACCATGAACAACGTAATGTGTGCAAGGGAGCAGGTGATGGAGTTTCAAACAAAGTAACTTTCTTAATCCTCTTCAGATTACACAAAACTAAATTGGTTCTAACTAGATAAAGAGTAATCATCGCACTAGATCAACCAAAATGCAAAAGATACAGTTGGGAGGCTAACTTACCGATTGGGTTAACATTACCCCAATAGGTCTCAGGTTGAGGGTGTATAAGAGGATCCCCATAAACTTCTGAAGTTGATGTAAGCAAAATTCTGTTCAACAATATGATAACTGAGTAAAACCAGTTGATGAGGGTGGTAAAATAATATACTACAAAGTAAAGTTTCCTAACCTTGCTCCGACTCGCTTTGCAAGTCCTAGCATGTTCAGGGTGCCAATCACATTGGTCTTAATTGTCTGTTACAATGCCATAAGCTTACCAGTGAGACAATATATTCAGGTTGAATATGCAAATAACACAACGCAGGAGACAACTTTCTCTCATTCACAATGAAAACAGCGCATTGCAATCAGACAAAAACACAGTTCATAAAACATAATGCTAAATAAATAAGTGAAATCTAAGTACACACCTTTACAGGATTGTACTTATAGAAAATCGGAGAAGCAGGGCATGCAAGGTGGTAAATCTGATCAACCTCAATTAACAATGGCTCCGTGACATCTATGAAGAAACAAAAACACGAAGTATAGTTATATCTGTCTTATTATTAAGAAACTATAGTCAGAAGAAAATAATCTGAAAGTCTCCAAATAGTTTAGTTTTCTTTTTTCCACAATGGGTAGGCAGCAGTTCCTACTAAAATACTACCTTAATGAGATATTTCCACATGATACATCTCGAGGTCTTAATTTTCCCTTTTAAAATTCCTGTCTTCATCATCATCTTAACATCAAAAACTGACATTTGTTCCCCATAATGTTTGATGATTACAGCATGAATAGTTTAATGAAATGCTATGTTTAGCAGTAGTTAAATGGGTTAATTTATATTGCAATGCTTTATTCTACTCATCCTAACTTGAATCAATATTCAGAAAACAAGTGGGCAATAGCAATATCGTATCTCAAAAACTAAGTTGTATAAAAACTAATTTAATATGTACACCAAAAATCTTACAACTGAGGAGACTCTGACATCAGAGCCACCACACACGATAACTAAATACTAACAGTAACAGACTAAAAGACAAGAACATACCATGACGAATAAGCTCAAATCTTGGGTGACTAATCCATTTTTTAAGATTGTCCTTCGAGCCAGTGAAGAAGTTATCAACAACAATCACCTGCATAACAAAGTATTAGATGCATTTACTGTTATAAAACATAACTCTCATTCGTTTCGATGTTTAGGCATGGAAAGGGAAACCATGTCTTGATTGGTACAAGTGTCTCAACTATTTGTTATTAATGTAAATACTGCCTTTCATAAACTAAAATATCCCAATTGCCTCAGATTTCTTAATAATATCAACAATTACAATTGAGTCTTGATGAGAAACACGCTAACCTCATTTTTTTCATTTTCCATCAATTTGTCAACCAGATGAGAACCAATGAATCCAGCTCCCCCGGTAACCAAAATTCTCATATTTGACTGCCATCATAAGAGAAGAATACTATTGAAGCGAACATCAAGAGAATGTATGATAAAAATGACAATAAAGAAGGCATGTCAATGTTGGTGTGCAACAGCACACTCCAGAACAAAACAAATTTCTATAAAAACCAAGAAATGGTGCAAATTTTGATAAATAATTTGAATGTTTCGGTGCAAGCATGCAGTACCATCATATTCAAAGCAACAAATTTGGAGAGTAAACTTCAATGAGGATAGTAATAACATGGGCCGGATGTCATATGGTCTCATAGATCTAATGCATATTACTCAAACTTAACCAGGATAAAGTAACTCCCATCCTTGGAAGTCCCCTTTACAACATTCATTATTTCAGTAAGCTGAAATTACCTGTATGCTGCTGGAATTTAAAGTAGAATTTATTTCTTAACCTTCTCCACAAACAACTATAATATTCTACTCTGAAAACTTCTGACTTTTGAATCATTTACATTGATCTACCTAAGGAAGAGGGTCCTTTCCTAAAACCATTTTCCTATACCAACCAAACACATTTTTATGTCATCTCATTTCTACATTTTCAATAATAACACAAGAATTACAGATCAGTCCCAGGGTTTACCGGATTTGTGTTATACTGTGAAGTGTGAACCACACATTGGTGTAATGTCTGATGTGAGATCCATAAGTAATAAGCACTATTACCTACCCTCCACCTTTATCATTAAATTTTCTCAACTGTATGAAATAAATAATGTGGCACCATAGAGCTAGACCACACATGATTTACAAGTTACAACCATATAAATACTGCCCCACTCTAATTATATTTCGTCAAACCATAAAGGATTAATCAACCAAAGTCATATATAACGATATAGACGAAGCTAAGATCCATTATACACTTTTCATAGCAAATGAAAGGAAAACACATCAATATGCAAATTTCTAATGAATCACTTCAGTAGACATAAAAAAGATTTACCTGAAAAAATTTGGAAAATCTCAATGGAGATGGCAATGGCGGTGGCTTAGTGGTTGTTTGGTTGTCGCCATTTGATGAATTGTTAGCCATGGATCAGATCTCACTGTTGAATTCAATAACTATCAAACACCGACATGATAATCACAAAGCAGACACATATAATCCAAAGAAATTAGAAATTACAAAGAGATAATAAGAAAACGACACCAACCTGAAGGTGAGTTTCAGAGGAAAATATCTCAAACCCAGATATTGTTTTGATCTACAAAAGATGAAGATCAGAGACTCATATATATAGCCTTTAAAACCGTCCTTAAAAATCGAAACTTCTTCCACCATATAGTGAATAACTATAAGAAAAAATAATAATTAAATAAACAAACTTGGAGCCTTCAAATTTACGAAAAAGTGAAGTCTCTGTGACGATAGCTCCTCGATAACAATAATATAAACCGATATCATACCAAACGTCAAATAAAAATAAAAAAAGTCCAAAGTGAATTTAGTAGTTACCTAGTGGGGTGTTTTGGTTTTACGAGGAAGTAGTTAATTAGTGAGATCTTGAGATTATTATAGGCGATAATTAAGGGTGGTTAGAAATTAATCAGGTCCTTAATGGAAGGCAAGTATTTGAGTTGATTAAGGATGGATGCTTCTTGAGTGTAGACTGTTTGTTTTTGCAATTGTTTTAGATAAAGACAGAACAGAATTAGATACTTCGTATCGTGCATGACAGCATGAGTTGTCTTTGTACACTTGCGTAGATTTTCTGATGCAACTTTGTTCTAAATGTAGTGTGGGCATTTTTATTTATTTTTTACAGATGAAATGTATCTCAATTAATTTTTCGAAATCCTAAAATTGATAATCAAATAAACTTTTAATTGCCATACAAAATAAATCTTTGGGTCGACAAAGAAGTTTAATAGAATTGGTAATTGATATTTTTCATGCTAATTATGATTCTAATTTCTATTAGAATTGAAAATAGTAATTATATTGATAATGATCTGTTTATATAAGGAACAGTGACCTCCAAGAGCACAAGGCAGAGATATTATTCGATCAAATTCTTTATTCATAACCACAATATAGATTTATATTATTATATTACCTTACACTTACTTCAAATGACTTCCAAAATGATTATAATTCTTATTCTAATTGGATAATAGAGTAATTATAATTCCTATTCTATAAGATATTCTAATTACAATAATATATCCTTTTCGGATATGTCCCGAACCGTCTCAGAATCGGGTTCTTAACATATATGTACTTACATAAATCAACATTAGATCATCTTAACTAAATCCATAAGCAGCCTAGGACTCTTCCTTCATTCACAAGACTTAGAATCAAATTCTTTTCATTACCTATGAAGATGAAAACTCCTTGTCACAACTTTGATGTAAGATAAATATGATGCATAACACGTGATATTGCAAGTTAAAAGTAAAATTGTTTTTATACTAAATTGAAGAAAAAGAACAATGAAGGGTAGTGTTTGGTTGAGGGTGATAGCTTCAACTTTGAAGCCTTAAAATGTTGGCAACTACCACCAGCAATAGTTGATTGTTTTAGAGGTGGGTCTGGCCGTCTGGGTCTGCTACAATTTCTTTTTTTTTTTTTTTTTTTTCCAGGGAAAATGAAACATTATTATATTATAGTATTAATAAAATTTGAATCACTAAAACAAGATGTGGCTGTAGTTTAGGGGTAAGAATTCCACGTTGTGGCCGTGGAGACCTGGGCTCGAATCCCAGCAGCCACAATTTTTTATTTTTTATTTTTCCCTCTTTTAAGTCAAATTTCATTTTAAGAAAAGTCAACTAGCAATTGCTTTCTAACAGTCAACCTCTTTTAAGATTTAATTGATTAATTTAACTGACCCGTGAGCAGTATCCCGAGTCACATGTGAGCAACATGATCTTTTTTTAATTTAGAGTAAACGACATTTGCCCACCCAACGTTTGGCGAATCTCCGTTTCCCACCCCTAGTTTTATAAATTACAAATTCACACCCTTAAATTAACAGAAAACTTTTTAATCTAGCAGTTAAAAAGGTAAAATGGTCATTTTAAAGATAAAAATTTTAAAATAACCCTCCACTTCTCAAATTCACCCAATCAAAAAATTTTAAAATAACCCTCTCAAATTCACCCCATCAAAAAATTTTAAAATAACCCTTAATTTTTTAAATTCACCCCACTGGCGATTTCAGGTCATTCCAGCCTGTTTACGACGCAGTCGACATCTCCTGACACCACTATTATAATCCTCTCAACCCCCACATTAAAACCCCTAACCCTCCACACCTGATTTAACCCCCCAGTCGCCGACCATCGCTCTTAGTTTTAGTCGGCGTTTCATCCAAATTTCGACAGGTCCCGACATTGGAAACCACCCCAACACCACCAATAGCATCACCAACTTCCTCCCATCAAAACCCATAACATCGCCAACTGCAATTTCCCGTCTATCATCGCCGCCCCTTCCTTAGGTTTTCTGGTTTTGTCGCACATTTCCAGCCAAATTCCAGTACCTCGCTTAAGTGCAATTGGGTGGAAAAGTTAGGGGTTTTGGTGAGGAGGATAAGGGGATGCTGATGGTGGTGTAGGAATCAGGCCGGATTTTTGGCTTGGCCAGGATCTTCTAAGGGTTATTTGAAAAAAATTTGAGATGTAGGGATTATTTTACGAGAAAAGTAACGGTGTTAATTTAAGGGTGGGAATTTACAATTTATGAAACCAGGGATGGAAACTTGCAGACTCGCCAAACCTTGGGTGGGAAAATGTCGTTTACTCTTTAATTTAATTCAGCTCTTCAGTCTTGATCTATCTTTCTTAAGTATTTGTGTTAGCTACAATATGGTCGATAAGAAGTTAATGATAAATCTAAACGCTGGATTAACTATATAAAAGGATGATAGAAAATCTGAACGTAAAACGAACGTTGCTTTGCAAATTGCAAAGTTGCTCTTTTTGAACTCTACCGATATTATAATATAAAGTGCATTAGAAGGATTTTAGAAACCTCTTTTGTATAGTATTCTATACATCCATATGTAGCACCCACAATAAAACGACCATGCCGAGTGAGTGCTTTATCATTATTATGATATCCTCAAAGCATTTTATGAAGGAGCCAATTCCATTTTGCAGAGAAATAAATAAACATTATAATTTATAAACACATCTTCCTTCCACGAAGCTGCCTCTATTCTTTGTGATTCTTGTTCAAGAAAGCCTCCGGAATGTGCACCAAACTGAGAGCAAGGAATCCACCATCCCCGGAGAGCTTAGTATAGGAAGCATTATATATAAAAGCAAAAAACCAGAAGTGGGGTTCCACCTCAGCCTGTCAATGAGTTTCCCTCGCTCATAAACATACATTAGAGTCGCCGAGTCGGTAGCGCCTCCAGAAAGTTGGCTTGAAGATTCATCGAGGTAGGCAGCTAGCTAGCTAATATGATCTTGCAACTTGCCAAAGTTCTTAGAGAGTTGAACTTTAGCTACAGTTACAATTAAGGGTACGTAAATCTCTTTGGGGTCGTTGCAGGGCGCCTCTTCAATGTTTCTTCTACGTGCATATGACTCAGAAGTGTTGATGAATCACAATGCGTATTACTTTTTACTTGTTTTAGGTTTAATATATATAAAATGAAAATGTTAGTTAAGAAATCGAAAATGGTGAGCCAGTGGTTTAAGATCTCACTCCAATGAACATATATGTAGGACTAGGGCAATTTGGTTGCATTCTAATTAGTAATTTGTGCTCTACACAGTTTTAGACAATACCGGAAAAGTGTTAATAATAAATCGAATAAATTAATAAATCATATATAGCATGAAAGAAATAAATTCGATTTAATGTGGTTGGAGTTGGATATCTGCATATAATACGAGATCTACCAATAAAATTATTCCTAACATTTTCTCTTTTATACTCTAGGTTTATTCTGAATCCCTCTATTCGCATTTCAAGGTATTGTACTCTTAAGAGATTCTAAGCTTGTTCTTTGAAGAAGTTGAATAAATTTGTACATTATTTTTATGAGTAAACAACTTTTTCCCACCGAAGGTTTGCCTTTATGATACTTTCTCACCCAAAAAGTCTCAAAATACCATTTTCCACCCAACTTTTATATTTTGTTAATACCTAAAATATACTTCACTTTCTCAACCGGTGTTTGGAGAGTTACCAAGAACCAAGGTAAGAGGGTTTTGTAGAGTGGAGGTCGGTGGATTGAATGGTGGTGATCGATTAAATATTCGTTATCGGAATCAATCGAAAATCAACTAATAACAGGAAATTCTAACTTTGTGGTAACCGATAATCGGCAAAAAATCAGATGCTGGAGTGGGAGAGATTTTATAAAGAGGAGACCGGAGGTTAAATGGTGGTAATTGAGAGAATTTTTGTCATTGGCATCGATCAGAATCGGCTTTGGATAGTAACGGAATATTAACTTTGGGTGAGAAAGTGATATTTTGAAACTTTTTGGGTGGGAAAAAGTCGTTTACTCTATTTTTATTGCTCATAATAAAGTACTTAAAACTCGATCCATAAGGATACTACAAAAGGATGGACCAAAAGGATCTGCTTTCCATCGCTGATCAGTTATTATATTTTATATGTATGTCTTCTCTTGACCTATATTTTTACAATAAATCTAACTGCGATCTAATACAGAACACATGCAGCACTGACTGAAAGAGATATCGTACTCCTTCCAACTCCAAAATCCAAATATGAGTGTTAAATCAGTTAAGTAATTACGGTGTTATTTCAATAAGATAGTGATCTGCAGTTACATATCGACTTGGACGAAAACAAAAAAGAAAAATTATCATACAAGAGAAGCATTCTTTTGAACTCTAACAATGTCGCAGAAAATAGGCTCTAGAAATATATATGTATATATATGTTTCACAAAATTTGGAAATCTATTACAAATTTGTGTTATTTTGTTAAATACAGTAAAATTCGTATAGCATTATACTTGCTCATTTCCAAAATGTATCAGCGTTTATTTCTTTCAGTAACTAATCAATTGCTATATTTTTGGTCCAACTTTTAATTAATTGGACAAAGCATGTATCTTACACGAGATTTCAAGTAAATTTACATTGCTTGAAGGATTCTCCCACTGAACAAGTTCCTTGATGCCTTCTTCCATTTTTCTTGTTTCTGTTATCAAACTTTGCATGCAATAACCTAGGGCGCTCAAACTTAAGACAGCTTGGCTCCTAAGCGCCTTCTGATCACCCTTATCAACGTGGATTTTATCAACAACTTCATTTGAATGTTGAAGATATGAAGTTATAAACTTCTCCATCCCATTTTCTTCTAAATCAGAAACCCTATTCACGTTTGCTGATTTTCCCAATTCAAGATCATAAGAGATTGTTCTCTTTTCAAGCTTTTTCTCTAGTTCCCTCAGTGATTTTATCATAGTGACATCCTGAAAACATTTTATCGAGGAGCCAACCACCTCCTTGAGAAGTTTAAGGTCACCATCTAGCTTATTTACACTCTCCTTCCAAGAAGCCTCGGTTTCTTGTGATTCTTGTTCAAGAAAATTCATGTAATGAGCAGCAAAATGCAAGAGATCCGCCATTTTTGACAAAGACCCTAAAAGCTTACTGTAGCAAGCACCATGAAAAGGTAGAAACCAGAAGTTGGGTTCCACATCAGCTTCTCCAATATACTTCTCTAGCGCATTGACATTCAATTTGAGTTTCTTTTGGTTCCCTAGCAAGTTCCCTTGGCTTTCCTGAAGACTCATTGAACCAACGCAATCGTGCAACATGCCGAGACTTTTAGACAGTTGAACTTTAGCTAGAGTCGATGCTCTTGTGGGTTGGAAGAGAAGGTCTACCATGATTGAACATGATAATCCAATGAATGTTTCAACAATTCTTGCTATAGCGAATTCACTTGGGGGGCCAAAATTTTTCCTTCCCAAAATCAACACAGCCCCAATGACCGCAGAAATACCTCCAGCCTGGCCATACATACGGCTTCGTCTCAGAAAACCTGTAAAAATGAACCAAGGAAGTAGAGATAGGAACCTTATGGGCAAGAACCTTTCAAAAAGAAAGCAGCCCAATACTCCATAGACAGTTCCTATAACTGTCCCTTGTGCTTTAACATTGGCAACTTTGAATGTTGCTTCTCTTGCTGAGGCAATACCGATGGCTACCGGGAGACCGGACCAGAAACCATTCGGTTTGCTATAGAGCAGCCCAAACAGCACAGCCAGACCCAAGGACAGTGAGCATCTGATTGCTTGCATATTGTTCTTGCTTTTAACTTTCTTGGCCCAGCTGCTCCAAGCCCCTTTGAAAGAAAACTCATCTTGTTTTCTCGAACTCGGTAATCCTTCAATATTTTTCTTAACCGAATTCTCTTGTGCAGAAATAGTTGGTTTTGGCATTGATTTACTGTGAAGGAGTTTCATACAAAATAAGAAGAAAAGAGGAGGCAAATCTTGCTTGGCTGTTGGGACGGCTTGAAGTGTTTGGAGGGACTCCGTTACATCTTCACCATTTGACTCTGGAACAGTTAATGAATCACAAGTTACGTAGTTTTTAACTTGCTTTATTGTGAGACAAACGTGTTCCTGTAGTCTAATTACACTTTCTTTAAGTTCTCCATCTACCATTCGAACTGGAAACGAAGTAATACTGGTTACAGCCATTTCCATCCCTCTTAAGAGTATCTCTAGCTGTTGCAATTTTTCTCCAGGGTTCGTGCAATAGGGTCTCAAAAATTTGAATGGTGGTCTCTCCCACTTCATGCTTTCCTGATTAAAGCAGGAGATATGATGCATGTTAGCTTCATGGATCTAAAACTCCGGGGCACGCCCTCAGTGTAAAAGAATAAATTGTTCAACTTTACTTACTTGGTAGCGTTTAATACTTTGTAGAAGTTTGGACCCTGAAACGGCCAGTGACTTTGCTTTAGAAATGGATGCAAGTGCTGATGTGTTGTCTTCTGCATGTAATGCCCCCACATAAAGCTTCAGCCTCTCTGAAGCATTCTCAGCAAGCTGCTTGCAGTTTTGTTTCAGCTGCGTCATTTAAGAAAAAAAATATATATGAAAAAATCGCATTATATTCATGCAATTTAGTGTGTAATGTTGAATATCATGATGGTGTAGTCAGCAACCATAATATCCAGGTGCCCACTAAGCTTGTCTTGTGCTTAGTGGTGTTTATAATTAAATTCAAGTAATATATTTATTACTTAGAGCGGAAATCATGGTCCAAAATCAATACTTTCGCTGTACGGATTTCCAAATTCTTGGATCAGTCTGGCACCCAATTAAACACAGACGTATAATGGATCATTTGCTACTTACCACTAGCTTCTGTATATTGAAAATAGCAAATTGATAGTAATTATTCAATGAGTAATTATTCATTTCTTTTACACGTTTTAGTTAGGTCATGTATAAATATGATAAATAATAATAATAAAAAAAATCAAATTATGAAATAATGATGAATCTTTCATGTAGTTACCTCGCGACAGGCAAGTCTTGGATACGGCAACAGCAAGGCAAGAACACAAGCCAAGACTCCAACGGCCGTGCTAGCCGCTACATGCACAGGGTGCCAAATCGCCTCAGTTTTCTCACCATTTATAAAACCTAAAACATATGTTATCACAATCTGCCCCAATGCTATACGCTTTGCTACCAAGTGAGTTTTCTCAGGCAGCACCACTACGTATGCAGCAAGAGCCACCGCAAGAGCAGTGGTGCCACTCGTGAACCGGGTTGGACCTATGAGCCACAAGCACAAAATGGCCGGTCCTATGCTCTGGACAGTTGCGTAGAGAGCCAGCCAGCACCCACGCAACGTGTCACCTAACGTTGCATCTGTGACAATGAGAATTACTGTCACGTAGGAAAATGCTGGGAAGGCTACTTGACGCCCGAGAGATTTTGGTCCGTAAAGGGTGACCAAGCCCACTATGGTGCATGCTAGGGCCGCCCGGTAACCGGAGGCGAGGCACGAGAGCCATACGGCGCGGGCTCGATTGGATTGGTCGTTACGGGTTGGCATTGTGAATTGTCAGATATTGGATCAAGAAAGTTGTTGGAAAAATAGTGTGTTTCTTATACAAAAGAAGCTTTAAAATGATAAAGAGTATTGGTGAGAGTTGATAAGCGGGTATTTGTAAAGGAAGAAATCTAGTGGAGATTTTGGAGCCACATGCAAGCACAATTGGGGTCCCATGTGTGGTTTAATGGGTGATGCAGTTTATAGTGGGGATGGTGAAAATTTTTTGGTTAAAAGGAACGATAAATAAAAAATTAAGGTCACTGTTGGTGGCTCAGCTTGTCAGGGGCCGAATATATGACTTTATTAAGCAGTAGCCTTAATTCAAAATGAGCAATTTGCTAAAAGAAAGTCAGCCACCAACCCACAATCTGCAGAGAAAGTAGAAGAGCTTCGTTTTCCCTGCTAATTAATGACTTTCCTCTTCCAAGATAAGCTTCTTTTACTGCTTTATGATCTGTTATTAAATAGCTGTCGCCGTCCTGAAAAATGATAAACAAATAGAGGTTAAGCTTTTTCTTTTTGTCTTTGTATCTTTGTTCTTTCAACGATCATAACTTGATTTTGTTTATAATCTATGTTGATGCTTGATTTTGACACTAACGAATCGCACGTGAGAAATGTTAAGCTGACTCAGAAGACTCACGTATATATGAGGGTATTGGGTTGAGCAAGAGATGAAGAACAATGTTTAAAGTGGGTTGGATGCTTAAACAAGTAAATCCTACATCTACTGATATTGTATTAATGTATGAGATCAGCAAGTTAACTTATAGCTTTGAGAATACAAGAGAGAGAGAGAGAGAGAAAATATGCTATTCTAGAGTGAAATTAGCTAATCCCACAAACAGGAGGGGAGATCTCTATTTATAGTGGGATGAATTAAAGTAATGATTACTGATTCTGTGAGTGGGTCAGATTGTCGTGCAAATCCTTCTTTGTGTCTCATTGCTCACCTGCTCGAATGATTTCCTCGACTTGTGCAGGGATTGAACAAGTGGAACGTCTCCAGTCTTTCGCCAATCTGGCATACACTCACTGCATTGACAGGAGTATGCCGCTTATGTCATCATGCGACGTGACTATGTCTGAATGGCTGCAGGTCCTACCTAAACTCTGACCACCCATGCTGACAAGGTTTGGCGTCAGCCCTATTTTTTCAAGCATAACAATCTAATTTGATCATATATCTTGACTTTGTTTAAAACTTTATTGAGGTCTATATAGAACGCCAAGAGTAGTCTCCAAAAGGCAAGTGTAAGCACTAGAAACTAGCTAGGGTTTTAAGTTTTAACTAACTGTGAGTGATTGAGTGATTCAATAAAGACTCTTAGATGTATTATTCAAGAGGTCTTGAGTTTAAGTTTCTTCTCGGTTGCTAGTAGGGATAGTCACTGAAACTTTTACATGGCCGGTCATTGTAGGGTTTCTGAGGATTAGTTAAAATACGCATAAACTGAATAGACAACTATCAACTTATTAGATTTAAATAAGGGTTTTATAATTCCTGTCTTTATTATTAATCAACATTCTTAATATATAATCAAAATGATGAAAAAATTAATCAGCTTATATAAGGATATGAGAACTGTGAGGTATCATTAATTTTAATTATATAATAATTTAAAATTCTCTGATGTAAACTGTCAAGTACGTAAAAAAAATGTTAGTTAATTGTTATGTTGAATTAATATATATCAATTGTTTGGAGCTGGCTGAGCATAATCGCATATTAACTTTCAAGGGAATCTTTCTCTAGTGCCATTGTATATGAATATGATCCTCATTCTCATTTATTTTAAATGATAATTATTAAAGTTTGATCCTCATTTAGTGATTGGGATTCGACTGTTTTAACCGAAAGTTTTTGGAATAAATATTTGAGAAGATAACCCCTGTAATGTCAGTCCATTATCTTTCTATACATAGTATGATATTCCAGCATCCAATAACAATTTGAGTCTCTAGCCATGGCTGACAAGCCAAGTCATGTAGTAACTAAACGCTTTTAATCAGATTCTCTCCGTCGGTTTCTTTCCTCTTTCAGGAAATGGGAAATGACGCAAGTTCTGTCCTAGAGTTTCAGGAAACTAACAAATAGGTCCTGACCAATATAGAGATTAAATAATGATCATATTGATTCTAATGAACTTAAAGTGGGGTTCCTCTTAGATTTCCACTCACCTAATTTCACGTCTCAGTTGTACTGATTTGTGATCCTTGAGGAGGAGGAAGGGTCAAGTGGGGCATAATTGATCCTCTTATTAGTGCTACAAGTTCGTTAAAGCAAAGTTCGAGGGTCCACTTTCACTATTTCTCATCCAATTCTATTTGCCACAAAAAAGATTATATAATTAACAGTCCCTTTCTCATCTGTCGAGTTCTCATTTTATTGTTCTTGTCTGCTTACGTTGTTGAGTATATATGCACAAGCACAAGGGCCACAAGTTTCTTTTTCCAGGTTCTATTGCAAAGAGCACACGTTTACATTAACAGAAACGGCACAACAGGCAATAGTCCTTAAACACTTATTATATGCATGCTGACATCAAAATCAAAAGAAAAGTGAAAGAAAGTTTTTTCTGAGAAAATTGCAGCAGCCCCTTTTAGACCGTATATTGTGGGATCCGATGAGAAGTGGCACAAGCTTGTCTGTACACTGCAAAAACATATACTTCTTTAAGTATAAAATCTGTGGCTCTATGCATGTTTCACAATATTAAAAAAGAAAATCTATCCCCGTAAGTTGAATATTATACGTGTTCAGTTGTTTTGTATAAGATATTTGACAAAGTTTTTACGATGGCTGTCACCAACCAAAGAAAGAAAATCCTTCTCCCTTGGTCTAGTAGTGGTATAAACTATAAACTATAAAGTGTAAACATGCTTGATGATCAAAGAGAGACATGGTGTTACAGACAGCCGAAAGTTTAAGATGGTATAAAGCATGAATCTTAAAAGACTCAATTGGCTTCACAATTCTTAAATATTTGGTCGCAGTACGTTTCTTCATTTCTTTTATCAAATTTAACTATGAAAATATCTATTATCTAACCAACCTTATAAGCTTACGTACTTCATTTCTTTTATCAAATTTAACTATGAAAATATTTATTATCTAACCAACCTTATAAGCTTACTTTCAAATGAATAATCAAAGCACTATCGATCTTTGATTTGAAAATTAAATTAAACCTTCTGATAAAAGTTAATCCCACAATAAAACTTGGAGGAGAAGTGGAAGATGATATAATTCACATTATCTGGAAAACTTGTGAAGTCTCTCTACCAGAAACAAAACATGCGAAAGTGGGATGCGACGATTATGAATATAAGTAGAGTATAGCCTATCAAAATTCCTTTTAGCCGCCCACGTCAGATGTCGTATCTGTTCGGAATCCGAAGGGTCGTCGCATATAAAAACAAAAACAAAGACCCTTTGAGTCAGAGTCCTCCACGCTAAAGTGAACAAGTCATCTTCAACTTTTATGCGCACGGGATTTATGCGCACGGGACGGGACATGGTGGCCGGGCCATTTGAATATTCTTCCGCAAATCAAGAAAATGCAAGACCTTTTCCACGTACTTATATAATCGATAAACTTCGACCCATGTATATCCGACCAGTGAAAATAAGAGAAGTCAAGTTCTTTTTTTTTTTAAAAAAAAAAAAAGAAAGTTGGTAGTATTTCCTTATTTTATAACTGCCCAGTCACCGTTTGTATATCCCCACTCCTTGATTTGTTTGAATATTTCTAGCTCGGTAACATGAAGTTTAATAAAAAAAACCATATAAAGGTTATTACTATAATTAACCCATACAACGTTTACTGTTTCAGATACATAATTGCATGTGCGCATATAAGTAACAATAAACATGGGGTCACAATCTAATCTTATAAACTTTTTCTCACAATCCGGACGTGAGGATAAGCGAAACCAATTATGAATTGCCATGTCGGGGTTGTGAAAGAAAACTTATGAGATTGAATTGTAAGTGTAACATTTCCCTATAAGTAATTCGCGAGTGGATTTTTGGTGGAGAGGACAGTGAACTGTTCAACCAGGAAATGAGTTATTATGTTGTTAGAAATTGTCTTAACAACTGCTGCAACAAAAAAGAACATGCAGAAACTGAGGCTGGAAATAAATCAGACCTTTCAAAGGTTGGTGGCATAGCCCGCCATGGCACCACCAAAGATGTTGTAGCTGCAGCAGAGCAGTAAAATGTTTCCACTCCATTGTCCATTCATACAAGTACATGAGTTTGGTAAGATAGGAGCTGGAGTTATTACAGATATTCAATTGTATATCAATTCCGTGAACCAAAGATACAAGAGTTTAAAAAGAGTTTCTCAAGTGACTCTGTTTCTTTGACAGGCATGACCAGTCTTCTGTTGTGTAATTCAACTTCGGCACCAACACTTAATTTGAGAGTTAGTCAATAAGGCTTGATCAAACTGTAAGCAAATTGCTGCTAAATTAGTGCATATTCAGAAATTAAACCCAATGACATAGCATGCAAGATGATTGAGAAAACATAATTGGCAAATTGCTTTTATAAGAACTTGATCAAACTGTAGACACACGAAGTCAACTAGGTTTTAGCTTTGATAAATATTACAAGAATAATACAGCCTCAACTTCCGCAGATATACACTAAGACATGCATCAAAAAGAAAGGGAATAACAATATCTTGTCGTATACAGATTATTTCTCATGTCCGGATGCAAAACCTTGGAGAAGAATAGAGCACCAAAGGGAAATATTTAAATCTGGTTCTCTTTTACCTCATCAAAGCTAAAAGGGTCGGCTCTCAGGATCAGTCATTCCCACAATAAGAGCTATAAGAACCCAGAACATTAGAATGCCTATCACAGCAGTTCTTAACACTTGATCACAGTTACCCATAACATTGATGTCATCGTGATGTGAGAGTCGAGGTGAAGACAAATTCTCATCATCACTAATATCTGCATATGGCTCTGTTTTGCTGGTCTCATTAGAACTTGGTCGCTGGATATCACGAATCCCAACACTTGAACATTTCATGCATGAGCAATTCCCACCAAGATACGAAGGGAGAGTCTCAAAGTACTCAGAGAGAACCTTGCGATACATTTCCCCTTCAATTTTGACCTTCTTCCGGGTGACAGGTTTCAGAATCTGAAAAAGAGCCAAACAAATTTTCACATAGGATATGGAGAAAGAGACCCAACTGAAGCTAAAAATCCCACCCTGAAGGAGGAGGGTGCTAAAAATAAAAGAGATGAGGAGAAAACTGAAAACAAGAACCATAAAAATTAAGTCCTAATCAGTGTGATAAGCTTTACCTGAACAAAAGTCTGAGTAATAACTCGAACCACTGGAGGAAGACGTATAACCAACAAACAGCCAAGGAGATTAGGATAATGATCTTGGAGAAGGGAAGAACAAGACCGGATTATTTGCATGGGCATCCTCAAGGGAGATAGTCCATCACAATCCACCAAAACTGTAATTTGAGGATTATTTGCTTTTTTAACTAGGTGCAAAACTCCATGCTCTACCTGAGATACTACAGTGCAAACATTCATTGATGTCACAATATGAATTGGAAATGTCAGGGAAAAAAAAGAATATATGTCAATAGAGAAACATACAGTTTGAGACTAAATAGTTGGTGCATGTACCACTTTGAAATTCATATGGACATCAATAGTGAAGACAAATATTTCAAATTGCATTCCGAATCCAGCAGTGAAAGAAACTTATCATTTACAATGGCAGGTTGCTTTTGTAAACTTGAGAAAACCTAATACAGTCATTCAAACATTTGTAAACATAAGCAGCCCATCATGCTAGTATGAATTCAAAGATGCCTTTAATAGGGTAAATATTTGTTATCATTGATGTGATTAATCTAAAATTGTAGTCAAGGAAGTTGACCATTGGAGTAGAACTTCCCCGTAGGCAACAGATCTTTCATTAATAAACGGAATTTGTTTACTTGCAAAAAGTGGCTTGATCTTTTACATCATGAAACCCCCCAAAAATTATTCGCATGAGCTGTCATTCAACAGAACTAACTTAAAAACAGAAGAGGGTAGATAGATCTGACAGATTATATGTGTACCTCCATTCAAGCACTCATAAATGCTTTCCATCACCAGTAGATAGTAAACTCAATTATAGCTACTACTATATACAGAGAAGATAAATTTTCCAACGGGGATTTCTAGATGGAAAGATTTTAGGTTTTTTTAATATTTCCAAAAAAGTTCAAAGCCCTTTGACTCCAAAATTTAAAAAAGAGATGACATGCTCACGTAATTTCAACTGGAAGAAAGCCTGCTATTTGCAAAGCAGTATCCCCAAGGACTACATGATAATATATCCAGAATTGGTTACCACAAAAAAAAAGATAATATATCCAGAATTTATTACAGAAAAAGAAACATACTAATTGCTTGAGCAAAACGAGGTCTGTCATGAGATGGCATGACATAGCAAGCAAGTCCAAGTCGTACTATTAGGCATGGTCGGTGCTGAACATCAAATCCATGCCAAAATACCATATCTGACCATGTCTGAAGCTCTTCTTCAGAAAGAATCCTGTATGTCTCCCTCCAACGTATTGTCTTTTTAATCAATGCTAAAAAGCATGAAAAGTCACCATTTGCAGCAGTGTAAAATCTATGTAGCTCATCCTCATTAAGTCTGCATAAACAGTACTATGTCATGGTCCGCTGCAAGAAGAGAAGCCAAGAAATAGAAAGATAAATATGACATCTATAAAAACACCAATGAATTCCAAACCAGTAGCTCCCAGATTATGTCTTCCAAAATACTATGACAAAATGACAGCTGAGGACTTTTTAAAGGAAAAATAAAAAAGGTCAGAAGCATAATAAGTAATTATTATTTCTCAAATTCTATACCTTAAATTTATCTTCTATTATATAGAAGGCTCATTCCTGAAAACAGAAAGGGACTCAATTCGGTAATGAAAGTTCTAGCGCAATGTTTATACATTGGTAGATCAAAAACGTAAGTTGTTGGAACTCAGGATGATGATGGTATTGTTGGCATTGTTTAGTAGGATTGTAGGGAATGCTATCTCCTGAGGCATGCAAATCAGAAACTCACCTTTCGGGTAAATAGATCCCCTGATTTTCAAGCTCCTTAGAGAGTTTTATCGACCAATTTTCAGATGTGAGACTTGTAGGACCTTCATCACAACCGCTGCATATGACATGAAGGCAACAAAGTAAATTACCATTATAAGTAATATACCAATTTGATATCAGCCTCAGCCTTATATCCCTTGTCTATTTAGGTACCTTGTAACTGTAGGAGAATGCATGGATGATAGATCAGGAGGACTTTCAGAATTTGCATGAGAACCACTAATAACATCTGAAGTTTCATCACTGCATTCTGACAGTTCAGAGACAGTCTCAGCAATTGAAAGGAGTAATAATGGCCTTGACAACATCTGCAGGCACCAAAGACAATAACCACCAAATATTTCATAGGATTATAAATTAATACAATTAAAAGCGGGAACTTAGATATGATTTGTGCCAAGGAATCAAAGAGAGACCGTGCACATCATTTTTGAACATCTCTACTAGTGCATACATATCATCAGGTAACTGCAGATGTGCATCTCAACCAGAGCAGAAGACATAATTAGGCAGAGCTGAGATATGTGATTGTCAGATGCGTATGAAGGTATGATATGAACTTCTAGTAACTCATGATAAAAAACATAAACTAGTAAGACTAAGAATCAGCAGGATGCTTGCACTCCGGTGTAAACAGCAAAGCCCTCTAGGACACAGCAACAACTTTTATATATTTCTAGTCAGTTCTATTATAAACATGTTGATGAGTGTTTATCTTTAAAGGATACAAAACAATATTTATGTTGTCAGTAACTGTAAAATCAGTTGAATTCATAAGATTTGAGTGAAGCATCGCAATAAATCTTTCATGAACTTGTAAGAACAAACCTGCATCCCTCTAATCAAACCCTTGAAGGGAGCCCATCTCTGAATCCACTTAAATGGTGGATAGCAAATAACTTGTAGAGCCTGAAGACCACGCCATAAGTTTGGACACTTAGCCTTTGAAACCCTTCGAACAGCCTCTAATGCAGCAACTTTGAGTAAAAATATTGCAATATGACCAGCTGCACCAACACTGATATTCTTACCCCGGCTAAGTAAAGCTATGTGCCGACAGTTACTTTGAGAGAATGCTTTCGGGGTAGAAGCAACTAAATTTATTTGGGAACCCTTTTTCCCACCAACGACACCAGACATTTGACAGTTCCTACTTGAGGCTGAAACAAGTGATGGATCTTCCATTGAAGATAATTGATAAGTTCCTTAATTCACATTCCCAGTTAACTAGTACACTAAAATTTTGCAGCGAGGTTCCACAAGACGCATCTCAAGTACCTTTACAACAGTCTAAAACTCATTAATCTCTTATAAACATGAACCTGCAAAACTACTAATCATGTGAGCATGTTTAAAAACAAAATTAAAACAAAATAAACAAAAAAGGGACGATATAATTTCCACTTTTAAGCTAAATTACTTAAAATCTTCACAAAAAGAGTGCCCGCTAAACTCTAATAGAAGTCTCCGGATAAAAATAAAGTTCTCCTTCGGCTTTCCAAAAATAGATACACAGACACGGTCTTATTAAGCTTTCCAAATACATTTTACTGCTAAAAAATATTAATTCGACACAGATAAGAAAAACTATATCAATTCCATCATTTCCAGACAAAAGCATCACTATGAAATAATGAATACAAATCACATACACCAATAAACGCCGCAAAATTTAAAGCAGAAATGCGAAATTCACCTGAAATTATTTATTATTATCTGAAAAAAACGCATAATGTTCAGGATCTGCTTCTAGGAGGGTTGAATTTGAAGGTTTACAGTCCGGTCGTTTGGATGAAATATTCAGTCGTTTAAACGAAAGAGAGAGTTTAGAATTGAAGTTTGTGTGAGATCATTTGTTGTTGGTTGTGTTAGGATTTGGGAACTATAGCTATCAAAAACTAGGAAAGAGAAGAGGCATGGAGGGGACCCAGCCCATTACTTTTAACCCAACGACACCTACCTCATTTTGAACGTGTTCGGTGCGTATTAACTTGAGCGTTTTCATTAATGGGATCGCGGCATCCTTTTGACATCAGCAGCAGGTAGAAAATTAATTTCAGCTTTTTGTGATAATTGATTTCTGTTTTGTCCCACTTGACTAGTATAAAATGTGTTTTTGCTCTCATTCTTAACCAAAAAATAAATATATAAATAAATAAATTAAGAGTTTTCTCCATCTACCCTCTAATTTTTTAAGGTTTTTCTTTATTAGAGTTGAGCATTTATTTAGTTCGTCATAATAGAAGAGTGATGCATCTATCATTGTATCTTTAAAAACAGACGTTGTTCAAATCTTTGTACATCCGATAGAATGAGACGAATCTATTTTAAAGAAATTATGTGTTACATAGGCCTCGATATTCATCCTAAGATTGTATTCTTTACCGGTTCTCTTTCTATCATTATAAAGAGTCTCTTACACATGATCACGTTGTTGGTATTGTTAATTTTATTGCATTATTATTTTATCGATATTTAGTCATATTATTTTTATATTCAAGATGTTTATTATTTGCTATCACTAATATAATAATCGATTATTTTATAAGAAAAATAGGATATAATACCATTTTACTATATTGTGAGAAACTTAAAAAAAAAAAAAAATGCCATTTTTCAATTTCGCATTTAAAATAGTGTTATTTAATATAATTTATCTAAAATAATGTATCGTTAATATCGAATAAGTAATTAGTTTCTCATGAAAAAATGATAATTGATAATCTCATCGTGACCGAACAAACAGTAGTTGGTTGGTGAAATTTTGCTGTCCAGCCTTTTATAGAAGCCAAGTGTTCGAATAAACCTAAATATGAACTGTGGGTATCTGTTTAAGTGAGTCATAATATGTATCTTAAAATAGATTAATTAAAGACTATAAAAAGATAAATTTTAATTATTGGAATGTATAAGAAAATATGTATTATTATTATTATTATTATTAAATGGACTGTATCGAGGGAAAGCGTTGGTGATTGCTTTGCTTATCAAGATATTGATGTTGCGTACAAGGTATATATCCATCTTTACAGGTTCACTAATATTATATCAGTATAAATAAATCTTACAAAGAATTATGTACAAACTGATATAATACAAAATGAACGAAAGAATTAATATAAAAAGTCAAACACATTATATTTACTGTCTCATTCATTTTATGTCACATTATAAAGATTTGTTTGTACATATAACATTATTCGTATACAGGGACGTAGTCAGGATTCTGAATCAGTGGTTTGAAAATATCAAAGTTGATAAATTTACAATAAAATATATACTGAAGTAATAAAATAAAAAATATAATTTTAAAAGTTATATATAACAAATTATCAATTCTATAATTGTCTTCGACGATTTTTCATATTCTGAAAACGTTGCATAATTGTTTCATTGATAATTCCATCGAATATCTCTCTCTTAATATATGTAATAAGACAATAATTTAACAATTGATCTCCCATTCGATTCTGTAGTCGATTTTTCACAATCTTTATTACAGAAAACATGGTTATTAGTATCCTACGATATGCGATACATATCCTACGATATAATTCGATACAGGTCGTCAACGATACGTATCAGAGAGTGTATCACAAATCTTTTGATACATTGATATGTATCATACGATACGATTCGTATCCTTAAAAATATCGATACAAATCGATACGACTTTATTAATTTGGGCCAAAGACCCAAAAAATTTCGGGTCGAATCTAAGTCACCCAACCCGGTTAACTAAAATCTATCCAAATTTACCCATTTTGCATGATAATAATAATACAAGTGGAGATATAGATATTGACATTGATCTTGGAAATGATATGAATGGTTGAGAGGAAATGATATAGATTCTTAATTTTGATTACGTAATACCATAATTTAAAGCCAATAATACCATAAAATTCTTTAATTAATATTTGGAATGATATTAATTTATAGAAAAATTTTATTATTTTATTAATTTTTTTGAAAAAATATATCCTACGATACGATATGATATGTGATACACGATTCGAAAAATTAAGTTTTTGATACACGATACGATACGCAATTTGACTACCATGACAGAAAATACTCTTTTAACCATTGCAGTTGCAATAGATAATATCAATGCTAATTTCACAAGTAAATAAACCAAGTGATATACCACGTTCTTCTTTATTTGAACCAATTTTTCAACAAAAGCAACAATTTCATTTAATGTCAAAAAATCATTATTAGAGCGTATATCAAGAATGTAAATATCCAACCACTACAACAAAATTATTCTACGTTAATATACGAAAAGTGCTACCGTAGATAAAAGATAGCATTTTTTAGCATGTTGTTACAGCCTGTGTTTCTAAAAAATGAGACTTTGATAACATTTTTTGCATATTATTAATAATTATTTAAATTTTATTGTTGAATATATTATAACACTTGTTTGTAGTTACAGATGATTGTAGCTAACCCTTCGTAAATGCTATAAATTAGTTTTTCATAACATTCTTAAACTGTTATAACTTACTTTTTTGTAACATAAAATGTCATAGATTTGTGATCTATAACATTTTTAAGATGTTGTAGATAAGTTTTCATAACATTGTTAAAATGTTATAAAATAATTATCGGTGAAATATAATATGAAAAAATGAGAAGAAATGAGAAGAGAGAAAAGTTTAAAAAATGTTAATTAATAATTCGGTCAACATGAAGTTAAATGGGATTACAATGGTAAAATCTATAAAACATTAATGCTATTTTTAAATTTTTAAAAAGTTGAGTGGATTCAATTGAACCCACAACTCATTATGTGGCTATGTGCCTGCTCATATAGGGTAACAGTTATAGTAATGTGTAGTATAATAAATTAAACTATGTTATTACTAACTATTTGCGTATAAATTCAGTTTCTATTGAATTAAATCGTCATTTATATTCAACGTCGGACAGAATACTATAAAATATCGAGAAAAGAAATTTTAGGGTCCCTTTATTTTATTATTTCATACCCTATTCCCAAAACATATGTTTGTTTAATTGTTTGGAAAATACTATTATTTTTTTAATTATTTTTAGACCCCTTAAGTTTATTAATTTAATTAAATACTCATAGAAAAAAATGTTTAAAAATTAACAAAAACACTCCCACCCATCCATAGTTGCTAGATTCCGACAACCAGTAGAAACGACCGAAACTGGTCGATAATTCACCAATCTGGAATTTTCCAGAAACCAGCCAATTATTCACCAATCTAGCCTTTTCTAGTCAGATCCACAGTGAATCTAGTCAAAAAAGGTCATATCGACGCACGACCGGCCAGATCCGATCGGTTTACGTCGTAATGCCATTTTCTAGCCAGATTCCGACGGTGGTAGCTGGAATCTAACATTGTAGGTGGGTGGGGGTATTTTTGTCATTTTACAAAATTTTTATATATTAGGATGTTTAGTTAAATTAGCAAACATATGGGAGTTTTTTTTTGTTAAATTTAAACTTTTACTTTGTAATACTCATCATATTCAACTACACAATGGGCATGTTTGGCTTATTATTTCTGCCCATATTCCCAATCCTATTCTCCAAATAAAGTTTGGCACATTATTCCAAAAATATTACCCTATTTTTTTAATTACTTTTAGACCCCATAAGGTTATTAATTTCATTAAATACCCCCTAAAAAAAAGTTTAAAAATTAACAAAAACACCCCCGTGACCCATACTTGCCAGATTCCGACAACCACTAGAATCTGCCACAACGGTGAATTTCCGACCGAAACTGGTCGGTAATTCACCGATCTGGCCGGAAAAGGCCAGATCCAGCCGTCAGCGATAGCTAAATATAGTAGTCGTTTTGGCCTTTTCCGGCCATCGCAGCCACAGCAGGCCATAGATCTGGCCTTTTCTGGCCAAATCCGTGGTGGATCTGGCCGGAGAAGGCCATAACGACGCGTTAAAACACAGATTCGACCGGTCTGTGTCATAACGCGATTTTCTGGCCAGATTTTGACGGTGGTGGCTGGAATCTGGCACTGCAGGTGGTGGGGGTATTTTTGTCATTTTATATATTTGGGTGTTTAATTAAATTAATAAACTTATGAGCTTTTTTATAAATTTTTAAATTTTATCTCGTAATACTTTCCTATTCAATTACCCAATATTATTCTCAAAACCCTATCTAAAATAGCAAACCAAACCGACCCTTAATTACCAGAGGAAAATGGATCCAATTAAAATCAGATTTGACAGATGACAGAAACTATCGAGAAAAGAAATTTTAACCAAAAAATAAATATATAAATAAATAAATTAAGAGTTTTTTCTCTCTAATTTTTTAAGGTTTTTTTTTTATTAGAGTTAGAAGAGTGATACTTCTTTTGTTATTTATCTATCATTGTATCTTGAGAAACAGATGCTGTTAAAATCTTTGTGTACCAGATTGAAGTTGACGAATCTGTTTTAAAGAAGTTGTATGTTATACAGACATCGACATTCATCCTAAGGTTACATTCTTTACCGGTTCTCTTCCTGTCATTTTGAAGAATTTATTACACATGATCACGTTGTTGGTATTGTTAATTTTATTGTATTGTTATTTTATTAACATTTAGTTATATTATTTTTATATTCAAGATGTTCCTTATTTGTAATTACTAATGTAATAATCGATTATTTTATTAAAAAAATAGGATATAATAACATTTTACTATATTGTGAGAAACTTTAAAAAAAAAAAAAATGCCATTTTTCAACTTCGCATTTAAAATAGTGTTATTTAATATAATTTATCTAAAATAATGTATCGTTAATATCAAATAAGTAATTAGTTTCTCATGAAATAATGATAATTGATAATCTCATCGTGACCGAACAAACAGTAGTTGGTTGGTGAAATTTTGCTGTCCAGCCTTTTATAGAAGCCAAGTGTTCGAATAAACCTAAATATGAACCGTGGGTATCTGTTTAAGTGAGTCATAATATGTATCTTAAAATAGATTAATTAAAGACTATAAAAAGATAAATTTTAATTATTGGAATGTATAACAAAATATGTATAACAAAAAGTCAAAACACATTATATTCACTGTCTCATTATTTTATGTCACATTATAAAGATTAATTTGTATATATAACATTATTCGTATACAGGGATGCAGTCAGGATTCTGAATCAGTGGGTTGAAAACATCAAAGTTGATAAATTTACAATAAAATATATATTGAAGTAATAAACATAAAAAATATAATTTTAAAAGTTATATATAACAAATTATCAATTCTACAATTGTCCTCGACGATTTTTCATATTCTGAAAACGTTACATAATTGTTTCATTGATAATTCCATCGAATATCTCTCTCTCAATATATATAATAAGACAATAATTTAACAATTGATCTCTTATTCGATTCTATAGTCGATTTTTCACAATCTTTATTGCAGAAGATGCTTTTTTTAACCCTTGCAGAAGATGCTTTTTTTAACCCTTGCAGTTGTAACAGATAATATCAATACTAATTTCACAAGTAAATAAACCAAGTGATATACCACCTTCTTCTTTATTTGAACCAACTTTTCAGTAAGAGCAACAATTCCATTTAATGTTAAAAAATCATTATTAGAGTACATATCAAGAATATAAGTATCCAACGACTATAATAAAATTTTCCTACGTTAACATACGAAAAGTTCTATCGTAGATAAAAGGTAGTATTTTTGAGCATGTTGTTACGGCTTTTGTCTCTAAAATAATGAGGCTTTGGTAACACTTTTTTCATATTATTAATAATTATTTAAATTTTATTATTGAGTATATTATAGCACTTGTTTGTAATTACAAATGATTGTAGCTAATCCTTTGTAAATGCTATAAATTAGTTTTTTCATAACATTTTTAAACTGTTATAGTTTACTTTTTTGTAACGTTTTTAAAATGCCATAGATTTGTAATCTATAACATTTTTAAAATGTTGTAGATAAGTTTTTCATAACATTGTTAAAATGCTATAGAATAATTATCAATGAAAATATAATATGAGAAAATGAGAAGAGAGAAAAGTTTAAAAAGTGTTAATTAATAATTCATTTGATAGGGTCAACATGAAAGTTAAATAAGGTGAAAATGATAAAATCTATAAAATATTAATGGGTGCATTTGGTTTCATATTTCTACCCATATTCCTAATCTTATTCCCCAAATATTGTTTGGCACATTATTCGAGAAATATTACTATATTTTTTTAATTACTTTTAGACTCCTTAAGTTTATTAATTTCATAAATACCCCTAGAAAAATGTTTAAAAATTAATAAAAACACCCCCACCGACGCATACTTGCCAGATTCCAGAAACTACCGTCGATGATAGCCAAAATCTGTCACAACGGCCTACACCACAATCGAAACTGGTCGGTAATTCACCGATCTGGTCGGAAAATACCAGATCTAAATGGCCGTCGTTGACGGTCAAATCTTAGCCATCATTGACCGACAACGATGACCAATATTATTCCTAAAATTTTATTCAAAATAATAAAATAAATGGATCCAATGTTTTTTTTTTAATTTTTGAAAAGTTTAATGGGTTCAATTGAATCCACAACTCATTATATGATTACGTGCCTGCTCGTATAGGGTAACAGTTATAGTAATGTGTAGTATAATAAATTAAACTCTGTTATTACTGACTATTTGTGTATAAATTCAGTTTCTATTGAATTAAATCGTCATTTAGATTCAACATCGGACAGAATATTATCTTCAACATCGGAGTATAAAATATCGAGAAAAGAAATTTTAATTACCAGAGGAAAATGGATCCAATTAAAATCAGATTTGACAGATGACAGCCTCTCATCAGCTCACAGCATGCATGAAGTCCACGTTCATAGACCACGTGTCACGGCCATATCATTTGATAAACGGAACCCTCCTCAATAAGAGCAACTTAATTCTAACCTCACCGATCACAATTAGACGAAACAATGGCATCAAATCTCACCCCAGCATTTGCCTACACGGTTTTGTACGTGAAGGACGTTACAAGATCAGTAGCTTTCTATGCAAAAGCCTTTGGTTACTCTGTACGCCGCTTAGATGAATCGCACAGGTACAATTACAAATACAAATTATGCATTTATTTTAATGTCATTTTTGGATTAATTAATTATATAAATACGTAGATGGGGAGAACTCGAGAGTGGACAGACAACGATTGCCTTCACCCCTCTGCACCAACACGAGACCGATGACCTGACTGGTTCGGTCCAGACACCCAAGTCCGGCAGTGAGCGACAGCCGTTTGAGGTTTGCTTTGCTTATCAAGACGTTGATGCTGCATACAAGGTATTTGTTTTGGCACATAATATATGCTTCATGAAACGTGAATGGAAATTTGGATGTTGTTACTCATGTTTGAATTAATGTCTCACACGAATGTCTTGTTAATTTTAACTAGTATTGTGGTTTGATTTGAATCAGAGGGCAGTGGAGAATGGTGCAGAGGCAGTGAGCGAGCCAGAGGATAAAGAATGGGGGCAGAAAGTTGGGTATGTTCGTGATATAGACGGGATTGTTGTCAGGCTGGGTAGCTACGTCCAAGCACCGAAAAAGGGTTGAATAATTTAAAAATGAGAAATTTCAACATTTTAGCAAATAAAGAATGTAATCTCCTATGCCTCCTTAATGAAGAAAACATAGTGGCATGGCAGGTTTGTAGTAATTGAAAATAAACATTTTGTTGCTAAAGAAATTAGTTCTGATAACAAGGAACTAAAAAAAACAAGGAACCCAAAAATCTAATGAAAAGAGCAAACTTCCATGACCGTTGACCAATCCGTAAAGAGTTAAATTTCAAGTTTTTATTATACCACATCAGAATTTAGTATTTAGTGCAATATGAAGATAATTTTGATCAATCCAAGTCTTTTTGAACATATCCTTGTAGCTAGAATGTTAAATCACTGTAATCATGAAGTGAAGAAGGTTGCATTACAATCTTAAGTATTCATACAACTGAAACAGAAACTTTCAACAGCAATTTTGTGGCCATAGGCCATCGAGGATATTCAGCCGTGGTTGGGTATGTGTTTTAGAGAGGTTACAAAAGCCAAAAGACAAAAAAACAAAAAATCCGCTGGCTTGTGAAAGGGCAAACCATCCATAAGGCAGACAACAAACTTACTCGCAAAACTAAAGACAAAGAGTCCATACTTGAAGAACAAAATCCAAGGTAAATAGAAACTAAACAGATGACATCAAATGAATATGAGTCAACAAGAACGACCTTTTGCCATCAAATCTATGAACCAAAGCGCTTTTGAATACAGAAATGCTTTGGTTATTACAGTGACTTGATCATACGGAGAAAAAAGTGAAAGAGATATGGGTGTGAGAAACTTCAAATGGCACCATTACAAGGACCACCCAGCATATATTAACTCAGTTGAACCAGTTCCCCCACACAATAAATCAAGACATTCCTGGTACACATGAAGTAGGTAGAGAAAAAGTGCCTGCAGTCAGTTTATAGCATTTCTTGCGATTTTCGCACACAGCGGCTAACCTTTTTCTTGAAATCGTCTCTCCTATCTCTCCATTCCTTCTGCAAATTAAAAAGCAAATACATGTCTCAACAAACAATAAATTAAATTAATACCATAGTCAACTTTGCTACAATCACGCAGGCCAATAATGTCAAATAATCATTAGGAGGAATTGCTCAACATTCGAAGCAACCATTAAACTTGTAAAAGGATTCATCCACACTTAAAAAATTGAGATGGGATCATGATTAAAATACTCCAAGATCCAACTGGCCTCATGATGTAGGTTTGCCCACATATATCATAACACAACTCCCAGCTCAAAAAGGAGTAAGAGATTAGATAAGCAGACACAATCTATCTGAAAGAGCCATTACATCATACATTATTTTGAATGTTAATAATATAACTTCATTATAGTTGAATCTTAAGAGGGAAGAAAAGATCATGCCACAAGGATAAAGAGGCGAAACAGAAGCAGAAAGAACCAATAAATATATACTGAAAAAGCAAACTGGATTAAAATAAAGTGCATAGCAAGAGCACATAAGAAGGCATCATGAAGACGTAATGTGGAAGAAATCCCAATTGAAAAACCCATGTTATAAAGAATCATTACTATCTCTCAAAAACAACAAAAATTCTATCAACAATCAGTCAGGCTCACTGTTAATAAGCAATCTTCTAAATTATAGATCAATAAATAAACTGCTAAAAAATGCTTCATCAAACACTTTCAACACAGGAAGTTTCTTTTGAAGTGCCATGAAAAGCACTCCCCAAATACAATCATCCGCCTCTGGTGAATAAAGAACTGCATACCATCATAACACTGAATATGAATTCTTTGCAAAAGAAATTTAACACACAACAAATGCCATTTCAGAGATGGACTAGCAAATAACAAAAGTCTAAAAATTTAATTAGGAAAATAGTTATCTCAAGCAAGTTCATATATAAGGTAAACCATCAACGTCAAAACTAGAAGTTAATATCCAAGGAGGCACGACGGTTGGAAATCTGAGAAAATTAGCAAACTATGCACACCAATAAAGAAATCATCAATTGGTTTGTTTTGTTTCATACCTAAGATTATACACTATAAAATCTTCCACCAGGTGATGCCATAACTTCAGAGATACTTAAAAATACACAACATATATCGACAAAATTAACTAAAAAATTGACCGATGGAACAACAATTAAATTCAGTTAAGATCTTCATTTTCAAGAAAATCAAAAGAAAAAACAAAATGAGTATATTTAATCAAAAATTTACTCAATTTGCAGATATAAATTATGTGAAACACATCTCTCTGACCATTATAAAACTAATCCTCCCATTCAATTTAACTTAAATTTATTGTTTCAACATATGATCCACCAGTTATAAGTTTGGTTCACCATCGTCATGTTGGCCACTTAAAACTTTGTATGTCCACAAATCACGAAATTTCTAATGATTCATGCATGAATAAATAATAGAATTCAGACAGCTGCTGAAAGAAGTAAAAAGGTAATCATGCTGAGGGAACCAAAAAAAAAACTGAATATTTTAATGTCAGGAAAACCATAGATAACTTACAGCAGCTTCAACATTTGCAGGAGATTCGTCATTAGGACTGGAAAGCATTGATATGATACTCAAAACAATACTTTCAACCTATCACAAACAACCATTCGAACATTAGTGAATTCATGATCATCGTCCGAAATTGATGTATAATAGCAGGAAAAACACAAAAAATTAACAATTTATTAGAAACTATTAAAGCTTATGCAAGCAAAAAAACCATTACGACCGGACCATAAGCATATAGATCCAATCTTAACAAACTGCTCCCTTTTTCTGGAAATTAGAGTTAGCATGACCATAAGCTATGTGCTCTGTAATTTGGTTTCCCTTTCAAAGTAAAAACAACAGCATAGACTATACCTTTATATTTTCACATAATGCATTACATTATGTATTCACTATTTCCCCAAACCTTCAACAGTTTCACCTCCTCACTTTCCCATAACAAAATCTTTTAAAAAAATTTCCAACCTTTTTTTTTACTGCATACAATTTTAATCTGTTAGTTTAGTCATTTTTTTATCTCCAGCAGTAAGCCTATTCCAGAAAATCTGAAATTTTAAGCTACATGCCACATATTCATAACATTCAAATATGCACACAATAACCGTTTCCGTTATGAAGGCACACATGGATAACGAGTTAACATATAAAAGACATACAGTATGGACGGGCATCCAACGCTCACTTGCAAGCTCATAGCCATTAGGGTCATCGCCCGGAGGATGAAGAATTGATATGCACACACGCCCATCAGGATATACTGGAGTTCAAGGAAAAAAAAAAAAAACAATTCATGCAATGATCCAAATACAAGTAAAAGATTGACTATACCCTTGTTATAAACAATAACTGACCATTAGGATGCCAAATCTCTGTGGTAAACTTCACTGTAGGAGGGCTATTAGGATAATTTGATGGAAAGCTCATAATGGCATTGAAAAATCCCCCCTCACTGCGTTTACAATAAAGACCAAACATCTGAAAATTCAGTCCTTGAAACAACTATCTTAGACAATGCTGTCATAAATGTCACAACCACACATCCAGAGAAGCAAATTCATAGAAAGCTCAAATTAAAAAATCAAGACAAGAAAAAAATCTAAGTTACAACTTTTTCAACAAAAATATATATCTAGAACCAACAAACATTAAATATTTTGGTAGTCAGTAATAGCCTGAAGTCACAGCAATTCACGCACATCCAGTATAGTCTCTCCACATGACAAAACTACTGATTTTCACATCCTCCAAACAAGGTTTCAAATGAACCAATTCAGACTGAATTTCACTTCAGATAATAGAACTTAAAACTGTTAACATTCTCCTTTATTTTTCAACGTCAAGATACAAGGACATGAAACACCTTACAACCAATAATTTGATAGTTCCAAGTATCAAAAATAAGCCAAACCATATCTCAAGTATCACCCATCTATAAAACCCTGAAACAGCAAAAGCAAATTAAAAAGTTACACTTCCCTAAACAGCAGCTAAATTAGTCAAGATTTGACTACCAAATAAACTACTAATACTTGACACCAAATCATTTGACAAACCGCCAATAAGAATAACCTTAAAACAGTACCAAGAACCAGCTATATCCAAAATTAACATCTAAAAAAAATGAAAGATCCGTTAGCCACTAAACCAAGTAAAAAAAAAAAGAACCCAATCTCAGCAGTTGAACCAACAATCTCATCAAACACAATCATCCAAATTCATACAAAACCCACATCAAAAAACCCTTGAAACAAAATCTTGGAGCAAATTAAAGAGCTAAAAGCACATACTAAAGAGTATCTGGCGGTCCAATAATTGTAACACTCCATTCAAATATATTAGTCTCATCTACCAAGCCAGCCGAGAACCCAGCAACGGGGTTCTTACAAAGATCTGCACACACGGTAACCGATCAATCAAAATCAAGGAAAAAGAAAACATATATAAAATCTTGATCAAAATGAATCGGTTTCTTTGACTGATGGATACCTTTAAGTTGTTTTTGGAGGAGGAGGCTTGCTTGAGATGCTGCCATGGATTTTATTTTAGAGAGGAGAGAGCTGAAATGGCTCTGAAAATTGGTGAGAGAAGGAAAGAGAGGTTACAATAGCGGACAGTTGTTGGCATTTATAGATAGAGCTTTAGGAGAGAAGGTTCTGATTTCTGAAAACGGACTCACGTGGGAGTTCTAATCGTCTGCGATTACTTTTTTTAGAGTAGTGATTATGACCAATAGTATGAAGGCACGTATGTATATTTTTGGATGGGGCGGTTGGCCAATAGTGAAAGAAAGATTCATTGGTACTTCAATGGGGACAGTGGGTTTTTACCGTTTTGATTTCAGCTTCAGTTTTGTCGGGTCCACTGTCAAAGAAAAGGAAAAGTTGAATTAACTGTTGTAAGGTGGCCTATGCCTTATACGACCAAATGATAATGTCATATGTGCTCTTTAATAATTAATTATGGAACTTCTCTTTGATCAACCACCACTGGTGGCTTGAATTTAGGGGTATAAACGAGTCAAGTTAAGTTGAGTTTTGGGTTNAATGGGGACAGTGGGTTTTTACCGTTTTGATTTCAGCTTCAGTTTTGTCGGGTCCACTGTCAAAGAAAAGGAAAAGTTGAATTAACTGTTGTAAGGTGCCTGATGCCTTATACGACCCAATGATAATGTCATATGTGCTGTTTAATAATTAAAGATGGAACTTCTCTTTGATCAACCACCACTGGTGGCTTGAATTTAGGGTATAAACGAGCCAAGTTAAGTTGAGTTTTGGGCTAATTAAGCTCGGTTCATTTATTACAGTTTTGAACTTGAGATTGAAAATTCGAGTTCGAGCTTGAACTCGAGCTCACAAAAAAAAACTCTCCAGTTCTACATTTTTTTGCTTTTCCAATTGAGCATTTCAAGCTCCAGGCTAAGTCGAGCTGAAATTTGGCAGGCTCAAACTCAGCTCGACATTGTAGCCAAACTGAGCTAAGCCGAGCTTGAGCTTTTACCTACTCGGCTCGGCTAATACCCTTAAGCATGATGGTAAAATAGTAAAGGGGTCTAACATGAGTTATTGAGTTCGAGTCCTTTCGGACACTAATAGGAGTGACCACTGAGGGGATTTACACAATCGTTCACTTCGAAGTCCCGGAGATTAATTGAGGTACGTGCAAGTTGACTCAAACACCTTCAATCACCAAATATATATATATATATCCTTGTCCAACCACTCGGCCGCCCAAGGGCGGTTTTGAATCCTTGTCCAACCACTCGGCTGCCCAGGGGTGGTTTTGAATATATTCAGTTGAAACTTCCTAAGCTTAAACTGTGCATATTTCCTCCAAATTCCATTATTATTCAAAACTCAAATCAATTCATAATTCACATTCAAATATGATAAACCATTGCAATTATCGATCAACTTTTTGAAATTTTTTTAACTCACGGATTAGTGGTCATTTTTCTCGTTTAGTAACTATTTGGAGGAGTTAGTAATGATTTAAGGTTAACAATTTATGCGTAAACCATGTTTAAAATTACTTGGGTCTTGTTTTAAATGAAATTTGAGGCAAAATTATGTGGATTTGGTGCGAAATTGTTAGGCTTTTGGTGTGTCATATGTCCACAAGTTTCGCACGAAGACAAAGGATGTCGCAACTAGCGCCCAACTGAGTCAACTGACGGTGTCGGGTGAAATAATAGTAGATATTTTATACAATATTTTGTGACTATTGTCAACATCTTTCTTTCGTACATCAATAATGCTTGAGTTACCGATTAAACTATCGATTTGACATATTGATTGAGTTAAATTTTGAAATTTAGATAATTGAGACAGGTGGGTCAGTATGTGAAAATCAGTAGCTTAATCGGTAAATGTAGTATTATTGTTCGTACATTATTTAGGCAATGCATAATAAAGCACAAATGGTCGCTCTTTCTTTTTTTACCTGAAATGCACTACCCAAATGTAAATCTCCGCATAACATATATATAGATATTATCTCGTATTTCCTATTTAATATAATTTCTAATCAATTTATGGTTTGAGATGCACAGAACACATCTACTAAATACTTACAAATTAAACTTTATTTGTAAATTTTGATGCATAAAACGAATTGTCTCATTATTATACTATTTCGTTTACTTTTACCAAGTGTATGAGTCAAAAATCATAATAGGCTTCACCAGGTTCGAACACAAAACATCTATACAGTATGGCTCAAGACCATGATCCAATTCCGGTTGAGTCTAAGTTAAGATCCATAGTACAAGTTAGGCCATTACACCAACCAAACTACTCACAAGTTAAATCATCAAATTACTAAAGCCTAGCCCCAAATTGGGCCTCGTCATTAGCCCACTTAGGCTCAAACCCATCGGCCCATGGCCGTTCCAATGAACCCAGGGTTTTATCCATATCCTAATTCATCGACACCCTATTTTATCTACATCATAATACTTCTAAGATCCTAAATCTTACATGAATTAGGATTCTTACTCCTACAAATGCAAGTGAACCAGAATTTTCTTTTTTATTGAAACTCTACTATAATAAACTCAGAGTTCTACTAGGATTCAAGCTCCTAGGCTCACTATATAAACAGAGGTCTGACCTCTCATTATTCACTCAATCTCAATGCCACCTATTTCTCTTAACGTTCTTGCTCCCAAGAACTATCGTAGTCTTCAACAAGACTCTAGTAACCTTTCCTCCCCTTAACCCTTACTAAATTGCCTTTCCCAACCTCACTGCTGACTTAAGCGTCGGTTTGCCTATGGTAGACTCCACATCGATGTTCCCTGTGAGCTTCACGCTTAATTCCACTTAATTATTTGTGTGTGTAGGTCATCAGTAGCCTTAATCTCATAGGATTCGTCCATTATGTAACTGTAGATTTTACCATCTACACCAAGTTTAATAAGTTAATTAACTACTTAATATATACAAGTAATCATTGATTTAAACTAATAGTAAAAAAACACTTTTTATACTTTTAGTGTTAATAACTTAAAATTATTCAATTTTTTTTTTATCTTTTCTGTATTTTTCTAATAACTAAACCAAATTTTAAGTTAGAAGTAAAAAACATCCACTAGCTTGTGAAAGGACAATAACAATGAACTGACGAAAGTCTATTTACTATAAACGGGCGTTCACCTAGGATTGACGCCCGTCCATCATTTAAAATAAAAAAAATTTAAAACAAAAATCATAGACGCCCGTCTATATATTATGGATGGGCTTCCCAATTAGATGGACGTCTATCCATTATTTAAATTAAAAAAATTTACACACAAAAATCATGGAATGGATGAACGCAACGCAATGAAAAGTCTCAACAAAATTGTAACAACAATAAAAGTATATTGGGTGGATCTTGGTTTCATCAAAGGATCAGAAGAATTCCCAAACTATATGCTTTTGATTATAACTGAACAAGATGTGAGAACATCTCCAATGGTGCTCTTTATTTTGAAGAACATCTTTCATATAAATAAAGAGTACCTTCATTAATTTTTAAATATAAAGAACATAATTTTTATTCAAATCAAATAAACTCTTTAAATTTAATGAAGATGCTCTTTATTTTTTAAAAAGAGGCTTAATGGGAGAGAGAATTAATAAATAAAATGCATAGGAACTTGTAGTTTATTAATTAAAATTAGGATAGAGAATAAAATTTGACTCTCTAAATATGGAGAGTCAAACCTACTCTCTAATTTATATTTTAAAGATAAAGAGCCTATTGGACTTTTATTTTTATGAATAGACTTTTTATAATAAAGAATTTGGATCATATAAAGAGTCATTTGAAGATGCTCTGATGTGGATAAAATAAAGCTTTGCTCTCTGTACGCATGTATTGACTAGTTAATATTTCAGACCATAAAAATATAAAATAATCCTACTGCTGTTCACGATGTTCATCAAAGGAAAAGATTCAAGGCATAACATAATCAAGATTTTGGTTTTAAAAATATTTTAATTTAAACTATGAAGGCGTCCATTCTAGGTGGACGCCCATAGTAAATGGACTCCCGTCTATTGTTATTTTTCCATGAATTAGAATCCATTTAAAATGTACGGGCGTCCAATAATCACGGATGGCCGCTCATTCGCGAAATATTTATTAATATGCTACATGGTTGCATCTACTCAGTTGACACATCGTTCGGTGTAAAATTTCAATACAAATCTTTGGTGTCCGTAGCATTATTGCACAATACAATGATACACCAAACATGCTGATATAGTATAGTATTATAGAGTACTATCCTATAAAATACAATATTGTTGTATGATCTAATTTTGAGAGTATCTTTTATATAATAATGTTTTATATATATACAAAGTTAACATTTCTAAAATAATACTACTCTTATAAAATGTATATACAAAATATATTATATAAAATGATGCGTCACAATATATGTTTGAGAGGGTAATTAAAAATATACTATTCATATTTTTACTAAATACCGCAAATTCTCTTCTGTCTTGATTCAAGTTTTATTTATTTGTTTATTTGTTTCTGTTTTCCGTCTGCTCTTACTTTTCCCTAATCTTATCTCATTTCTTAATCAACTACAAATCTCGAACTGCAGCATGCCTTATATAGCCAAACAACATAGTCAACTAGGCCGCTGCATATTCTTATTAGGATTATTTTATTCTAACCTCCTTTGTTTTGTTTTGTTTGTGCAAGCTCGCTCCCATTCCATCTCCCCAGGTTAATCTATGGCGGACGTGAAGATAATATTACCTAAAAGCAAAATAAGAAACAAGACTATGAGATCTTCGTTTGGTTTTTCGGAGTTTTTAATAAAGAGATTGAGTGTTTGGTTGGAGAGAAAATTAGAAAACATTGACAAGTGCCAGAAAGAAAACACAAACATGAAACTATTTATGATTAGATCGAGAAACAGATGTGTTTTGAATTATTTTAGAGGTTAATAATTAAATTTGTTTGTTGTACGAGAATAATGATCAAGTGATTGAAAAAATCTACGGAGAGTCATCATTTATCACGGACCTTCAAATATTATTTTACTCTAATTGCACGGTTATCATTCTTTCACAGTACTTCCAAATCAAGCCAAAACAAAAACAAGAACTGAAGTAAATCTTGTTCCAGATTCTTGTTTAAGCAG